TTTTCCACCAAATTACAGAAATAGTCTAAAATAAAAGTACCGATGCAGTTATAATATGGCTAAGTAAATAAGCAAGGACTACGGCCAAGTAAATATGCACAAACCTGATACAATGGTTATCGGACCTCGAACATCAGGCAAATTTTGCTTCGTATAATGTTTTGCCAAGGACTTTATTAAGAGCGACTTCCCCACCTAAAGGCGAAGCAGTTTGAGGCAACAAGAAACAAACTAAAAGGAAAACGGTGGCAAATTAAACTATGATCAAAGACAGGGAAAGTAAGACATGGACAGCGCAGACCTTGGGAGGGCCCTGCACCACGACAACATAAGGTGCTGGCTCACCATAAGCCCGGTCAATAATTGGAACATGAAGACGACGCTGCTCTTTTTCGACGGCACGGGATTGTAATCTTTTGCTTTCGCCGAAGACGCAAAAGCAAACGCCTAAAATACATTATGCTCCGCCATTAAATATAATTAAGACTACAGTCTCTTCTTGTACGAACGAACAGAAGAACCCCAAAACCGGGGAAAAAAAAAAAGAAGCACGGAGAGTACCTTAGGATTTTGTTTGTGATGATCATCGGCAACTTCACGCTTCTTCTTCTTATCTGACTTAGCCTTCTTTGCACCAGACTGACGAGACCTGTGAGGCTTATGTGATTGGTCAGCATCGTTCACAGCCATGATTCAGCTCAATCAGTCCCCGATTTTTTCAGCTCTTGAAACAGTTAGTTTGCTAGGGTTTATGAGCAGCTTAACGGCCAGGGCAGTAATGCCTGTAATTGTGGATGGCGGCTATTCTCGCAAACACTTCCATTTTAACGAACACTTTTTTCCCCCCAGCCATTTTAACCGACGGTCACTAAACTTTAGACATTAATTATTAAATTATATTTAAATTAATTATATATATGTTGGCCAAAAAAAAAAATTATATATACAATTCATAGACATAGCCGGGGGGGGAGAAAAAAAAAAAAGAGAGATGCAGGGTATTTGATTTGATTCTTCAAATTGCTTCCTCTGAAATTTCAAATTTTAAGACTATGTTTGTCACCCAAAAAAAAAGACTACGTTTGAAAGTCATATCAACAATAACATAGAATCAAATGGAATTGATTTCTTTTTTCATGTCGTGAGGTTTGAATTCAAGTTTCGAATTGAAAATGTGCCTTGAAAATTCGGAAACATGAGTTAGCCGTTGATGTATGGGTGAAACACATGCCTGGATCACTCTAATTGACTTCAGAAAAAAAAAATGTTACGGGATAAGTGAAGACTTATAAGAGAATTTAGAAAACACCGAAAATGATTAAGAAATTTGTTCTTATCTAAATCGAGACAAAACTCTTCTTATATATTTATATATAAAATTATTTTTAAAAAACTAATCCAAATACTCAATGTTATTTTGAAAAGAGAAAAACAAAATGATGATGAGATAAAAGAGAAGGTGGTCATATTTGTACTAATAAACAATAAAATTATTTTGAAGGTGTTTGGATAAAAACAAAGCTATGATTATAAGAGTATTTTTATGATATACAAAGTAAATATATGGAGGAGTTTACCTTATTTTACGAAAAAGTATTTCTAATAAATATTTTTGGGTACTTCCAAATACCAAAAAACTCAATAATTTTATGTTTGTTAGGAATGCAATATTTTTGTGGGTAGACACATCTTTCCATGATTTTTATTATCCCACGTCATTTCCTATTATGAAGAAATATGTAAAATTTCTTAAAGTTAAAACTGCAAAGCTTTGTTTATAGCTTTGTTTATAAATAGAGGCATGCATTATGCATTTTTTGAAAATAAATAAATAAATAAATACTCTCTTGTTTATCTACTCTCATTTTCTACGGTTATTCTCTACTTTTTTTTATTTTACAACAGTATTTATAAAATTATCTAAAATATGAAAGAAATTAAATAATAAAATTTAGAAGATTTTGGAGGGAAAATATCAATTAGAAATTTAATTAGTGAGAATTATATGATAAATTTTTATACGCACGGTGCATTAATACTTGGCGAATTTTGTATGCATAGAGACTCTAATTTTTGTCATTTTTACCAATTAAATTTTTAATGGGATATTTTTTTTCAAATTTTCCTTAAAATTTAATCATTTTAGTATTCTTCAAAAATTTTCCAATGATGCACTAACTATTTTTACCCTTATAATTTTAGTTTTAATATTTCTTTTAGAATTGTCACATTATGCACATATTATATAAATATGTTATTCAATAAGATTTATAGCCAATAGAAATTATTTAATAAAATTAACCTCATCTATAGTTATTTTTCCTCTAAACATTTTCTTTTCAATTAATCATCAATAAGGGGTTTTAGCTTGTCAAACTGTTTTTTTTAACAAAAATAATCCAAAATCACTTTAATTTATGAGTGTAAAAATCAAATGAAATAAAAATCATTTTTTTCAATCCAAACACATTCTAAATGTTCTTATATGAAAATTATGAGAAATTCCTTTTTGTGTATTAGAAGTTAAGATAAGGTGGGTTAACCGATTGGGCTAAAATGAGTTTAAGGTGTGTTTGGCTCAAACAAAAAGGGGGAGATGGAGGAATTTTAATGGAGAAGAGGGAAGAGATTTTAATATTACCTTGTTTGGTTTCATGATAAAAAAGAAATGAAAAATATTTTAATATTATTTTATTTGATTCACTCGAGAATGGGAGGGAAAATATTTTGATATGGACAAATTCATCCTTATTCTTATTTTGAACTTGTTTTAAGTTTTATAAAATATTTACTAAAATATAGTTATAAATATATGTATAGAAAATTATAATGTCATAACTATTAAAATTGAATAAATATAACTATAATATGTAATCAATAGTTACTATATATACACAATAATTACGTTGGCAAAAATTATAATAATTATAATACTTATATATATGTATCTCCAAAATTAATAACTAGGAGCCAAGAAAATTAGAATTCATGTTACTATCGACGGTGCAGATTCGGTTACATAAGAAAGAGCAGATTTCATCAGAGGCTAGATCAATGTATTAAGCTTCGACTTGGAAAATCAATATTCTTGCCCCACAAAATTTCACCCCACAGTACAAATCTAGAGTGCAAAATTTCATGTGGGATTTACTATGGCTTTTCTGCATTTTTTTTCCCGAAACAAGACCTGCAGGAATGTTAAACACTAATATGAATGTATTAGTTACAACAATCCAAAACACTCTCCGATTTTTAATATAAGATCTAATTATTCAGTTAATTTTAGTTCTAAATATAAAACCTATTTATCATATTTATCAATTTTTTTAAATTATTCCTATGGATACTCCCTCAATCATGATCAAGTATATAAGGAAGGAAGGATATTAAGAAAGATGATTATGGTGTTTTAGGAAAAACATGTCATATTTCTCATAATTAACTAACTTACTTAATTTTTTTAATCTAATCAAATTAGTTAAAGAAGTTTTATATTAAGAACCGGAATAGTAGTACCTTTTCTCTCTAAATCCCTCCAATCCTCAAGGGGAGAGGAGGGAAAATTTTAGAGAATTTTTGTTTTCATCCTACAAAATTTGTTCAATCCAAATAATGGGAGGCCCCTCGTCTCCCCTCCAAATCCCTCACATGCACTGCAAAGGATGTTTGATATCACTGCAAGGTGCGAGAAATAATTGTTTTTTTTTTCCTTGACTTTTAGCCCTTCATTTAAGTTCGGCGTAGCATTTTCAATAATTCACTTCCAAATTCAACTCAAGAGGAGGAGTTTGGCAATTTTTAAAAACACTTAAAAAAATACTTTCATATAAATCGAGATAAATTTTTTTTTGTATAATCACTTTTTAAAAGCTAGTCCAAATACCTGTTAAAATGGCTTTAAAAAGAGTTACGCCGGGGTTGATGAGAGAGAAACGAAAATGATGCGAAAGGAGGCAGAAAGAGATTGAAAATGATAAAATCACTCTAAACTGCCTAATAACATGAAATTTTTTTTTTTTGGGGCTGAAATAAAGGCAGACCAGCAGCCTTAGGTGCAATACATGGCATCTGCGAGAACACTATCCGAAACAACAGAAGGGGTAGAGGGAAAACTAGTAAATCCCGGAGCTAAGCGATAACATGGTACTTGTAAGAGTGCACTTAAGAATCTGTAAACTAACTAATAAAATTTAATAACGAGAGTTCATACTAAGCCCAATCATTCTCATATCATTAATTTTCAATGAAGTTACAAAAATCTGTAAAAAAATTTAATAGCATATATATTCAAATCAAAAATCACATTAAATATTTAATCAAGTGCTTTTTTTTAGTATTTACACTCGTAATGTAATTTTTTTCAATAATACCTTAAATATTTTTTTTATATTTTAATATTTTTCTTAAAGTTATCAAATCTTTATTTGTTCAACAACACATTAATTTACTCATCATATTTCCTAAAAAATAGTTGAATTAATTATCATTCCCGCTAACGCAATCCGGTAAAAAAAAAAAAAAGGGTTGACTAGAAAAAGATTGCTTGAGAGGTTGGCGCCAGAAAAAGAATTTGTAAGACATACCACACAAGAAATAGGATGAAGTAATAAAATAATTTGTAGAATATAAACAAACTCTTAAAACTAGGATCGAAATAATTAGCGGGTTGAGGAAGGGAAAGAACTTTTGGTGAGTCCATGTCCTTCCTTGCGAGCATCTCTCGCTAGTGGCCCTGGAAATAGTATCAAACAACGCTGGTAGTGCTGGCGTAGCAACCATGAATAACGATGACCGCATCCACAACAGGCGGGAAGAAGATCACAGCAACGCGGGGAGTACCGTCACAAGCCAAGACTCCAGATTCAATCAGACCCTCAGGAATGTTCAAGGGTACTGATTTCACGCTCCCAGATCCTCCATTTCCTGCCTCTAATCATCTGCTTCTTATATGCTAAAGGCATTACGAGGAAACTTCATCATCCCTATAATTCCGATGACTGATCTGATCATGCAGCTGCCGGAAAACCTTTCCTCGTCTGCTTTTTTTTTTTTCCCTTAGAGAAGCTAATTCATTAGTTTTTAAGCGTTGAAGTCAATATTTCTGATCGATGAAATTTTACACGGTTATGTTGCTTGATTTATGCGGACCTGACTGACTTCAATGCCAAAATCGGTGTAATAAGCTTGATCTATGATTCTGTTCAAACCGATATGGGTCCGCTGCCTTTATTAATGTTCTAGCACAAGGATTATGGACTAAAGTTTTAATCCTTTATTATCAGCACTTTTTTATTTCCGCCGATCTGATTGCAGTTAGAACTGAAGATGTTATATCAAGTTTGTCGCTTATGTTTTCTAAGAGTCTTTAAGGGGATTATATTCTTTACGAAGTTTTATTGATGACAAACGTAATTATCCTTCATGACCACTCTCTGTAGACGCTATGGGACTGCATAATTGGGATTACATGCTTTATTTCGTTTCCCTTTGACTGATTGAACTATTTTTCTTTTTCTTTGAATCATTGAACAATTTTCTCTGTCCCTCTGAATTCATGTTCGGTTTCACCCACAATGGAAAGCAAACAACTCAAAATATAATTGATGGCAATTTTATATTTTATTTCAAGCTTGCTGAAAGGTCGTAGCATCCCTGGTAAAATATTATTGACTCGGAGACTAGACCCGCTAGATAACTCAAAGGAATATTCGCCAAGATATGAAAGGAGCTTCTCCTTCAATGATGCCGGCACAAGTGATCACCCAGCTAAGGCTGCAGAGGTGCTTCAGTATTCATAAAACGATTATTTCATATACTTCTATAAGGCCACTGGGCAGTACTTCTTTAACCAGGGCTTTTATTCTTGACACAGGAAGAAGTCCAGAGTACAAGTAAACCAGTCAATGTTTCCAATGTGAATAAGTTGAAAAAATCAAGTTCTGACATTGACAACCCATCTGAGGAAGTCCAGAAATCTTTCGTGGGGGCAAGGGCTACAGACTCTGCAAGAGTTATGAAGTTCACTAAGGTGCTTTCTGGGTCGACAGTAATATTAGGTATTTGAATTTATAATCATAGTTCTTTGTGCCACTTGTTAACTTAATTGTTACTCCTTTTGGGGCGCATCATATTTATGGAAGTAGCATATGTGGTTATAAGCCGTGTGCTCACTGCTCAGATGAACAAGCCCACGATGTGGTTTCTTAGACAGCTATTTTGACTAGGGTTTTTGGCCTTGGAATAAACCACAGAATAATCCTATGACAACATGAAGGAGTTTAAATCTACAAATTTAAAGTTTGCTTCTAGATTTACTGCAAGCCCTACTTGTTGGCTCAGAATGTTCTTTTTATCAAGTATATGATGTGCACATTTGCTTACACTTCACCTTATTCATGAACAACATCCAACTTGATTTCCATTTTTAGTTTTGATACCCAGTATATTTCTTAAAAATAGAAAACAGTTATTGAAATGCGATTCTTATTATGCTTACTGCAGTCTTTGTTATGATTAATATGACTTCTGCCAGCAAATCTGTAGAACCTTAATCTGATCTCTTTTTTGTGGGCATATTTACTTGAAATTTATTTTGCAGAGAAGTTGCGTGAATTATCTTGGAGTGGAGTTCCAGATTACATGCGCCCTACAGTGTGGAGGCTTCTCTTGGTAAGCTTTATGGTCTACCCTAAGCTCCTTTTCTCCCTCAAGCTCATGATTTGATGATAGCTATATGTTATAAGGAGTGTGATTACCAAAAATATTGAAGTTGTTGTCATAACTTGGGAAGATATAGTTATTCTTATCTTATTTTGGTAATATTGCTGAAACAAAAATTTTGTTCACTGAGGGTGAACTGTTAGGGACGTATCTTTCAGAAGAGATTTTGATGTTGACTACATGGATCTTTTTTACAAAGAGACCATGCGTGGGGTTTTTAAGAAGAAAAGTGAAGCATATTGTAAAATGATACATAGTCAAGTCTCTTTGAGATTGAAGCTTGACCTCCTATTTCCTCATTCTTATTCAATGTATCTTATCTTTGAAATTTAAAGACTAACTGACAACAGGGATATGCACCACCTAATTCAGATAGAAGGGAGGGAGTTCTGAGAAGGAAGCGCCTGGAGTATCTTGACTGTGTTTCTCAGTATTATGATATTCCTGATACCCAACGTTCAGATGATGAGATTAACATGCTTCGCCAGGTATCCTCAGTTCTAATGAACGAGCATCTTGATGTTATTAAAACAATTTTTATAATTCATGAGTCATGACAGTTGGTTTTGAAAATTTGTTAGATTGCTGTTGATTGTCCAAGAACTGTACCTGATGTTTCATTCTTCCAGCAACCACAAGTTCAGAAATCATTGGAGCGCATTCTTTATACATGGTTAGATATTGTTGTCACCATTTTGTTGGCCTTACGTTGTTCTTAGCCTATTGTTTTTGATGTGGATGGTTCTGTGAGGGGAGAGATGGCACTTGGCTTGGCTAAGAAAGAAATATCAATTTTGGAAAGTAGTCTTCTTACATTTGGGTAGTTTACTCAGTCTAATTTCAAGTAATTTTCTGATATAGTTACTTCTCTTGATTAGCACATGTTTTAACATTGTTGCATGTCCTTTATGATGGTTTTAGTAGTTTTCCCTGGGATATTGTTAGGCTACAGATGGACATTAGAAGAGGCATTGTTTCAGGTTCAATTGTCAAATTTTCAGTCTTTGTTAACAAGTAGTAAGATGGTGTGAATGACTTATGCATATTTATTTACACTTTCATCGGACTTTGTGTATAGTTGCTCTTGTGACCTCTAATTTTCTCTCTTGCCTTTTTTCCCCAATTTTTTTTTTTTTTGGGTGATTGGGGGGGGGGCTAACTTCACCATCTCAAGGGTATCAAGCAAGCATTAATTGAACTTACTGAGGCCTTAATCCGTGATAAAATATTTTGTAGCTCTTAAATTCTTTTTCATTCTTCTTGTTGATTAAATTTGTACGGGCAATTTACTTTATCTGTTTTACTCATGTGACTTGATGATTTCTTGCCAGGGCCATTCGGCATCCTGCAAGCGGATATGTTCAGGGAATAAATGATCTTGTTACGCCGTTTTTAGTTGTTTTCCTATCAGAATACTTAGAAGGGAGCATAGACAATTGGTCAATGTCTGATTTACCCTCAGAGAAAATTTCTAATGTAGAAGCTGACTGTTATTGGTGCTTGTCAAAGTTGCTCGATGGTATGCAAGACCATTACACATTCGCTCAACCAGGAATTCAGAGGCTTGTTTTTAAGTTGAAGGAATTGGTCAGAAGAATAGATGGTAAACTTTTTTATTAGGGTTTAATGCCTCTCTTTAAGCAACCTTTAATTGCATGAACTTAAATGCAACCCTTTAAGTAACCCTAATATTTTGATGGATAATATAATTCAACTGCATTTACATTTTGAAGTTGAGTTGAGGTTGACTTATCTTCTAGTATCCATAGAAAACCCCACGTGCTGAACTTATTTATGTTCACCAGTACTTATCCTACTTACAAGGTTGAGTAGTATATGACATTTAATGCTGACACACTTATGCTATTCTTATGTGGCCATGTTGGTCTGTTTTCATAGATTGAAGAGCATATCTGCCCCGGTACTGAAAGGGCTTGAAATATGATATATTTTAAAACTGTAGTGTGGTAATAGCTCCATTACTTTTCCTTAATCATTTTAATGAATGATTTGTTTGAAATATTCCAAAGGACGCAATACAAACCTAATTATCTCATTTGCTTTTACACAGAATAATAACAGCAACAAATATTATCCCGCTAAATGAGGTTGGCTACATTGATTGTATGACACTGTTGTGCTATATCCACAATCCAACTTTTCTAAAATACTATTAACTAAAAGGGTCTCGATTGATGACTTCCTTGAGTGTCCTTCTTGGTCTCCCTATACCTCTCTCTATAGGGCTAAAGAATATCTACTCATCCCTCTACCAGCACCTGCATCTCCATTTTAAATTATTGTTTTTTCTCACAAGTGTCAATGTTTTATAATCATCTTCCATATTGCCAATTAATACTTATGAAATACCCAACCTTATAATCTCATTATTTTTGTTGGTATATTATTATTTGTATATCTTAAAATAGAATCTGATGTGCTCAAGTGAAACTATTGTGCTGCACTAGAGCCTGTTTCTAGACATGTGGAGGAACAAGGACTGGAATTTCTTCAATTTGCTTTCCGCTGGTTCAACTGTCTTCTTATCCGTGAGGTTTGCTCTAACTTGTGAAATTTTTCTTTCTAGTTATGATTGTGACATCTGAAAAGACATTTGTAAAATGACCTTATTGCAAGTAGCAGGAGTTTATTAATCGTTGCATTGATGTTGGTGATAATGGACGATAGTAAATTTGTCTTGAGTGTTATTCTTTCATCAAGTCTAATATGTAATTTGTTTAATTAGATACCCTTCCATCTCATCACACGCCTTTGGGACACATATCTTGCTGAAGGAGACGCCTTACCAGATTTCCTTGTGTATATATTTGCCAGTTTTCTCCTGACGGTGAGACATCATTTTTGGGCTTTTGCGCTGATATAATCAATTTAAATTATAGTCTTGTGACCATACTGATGAAACTCCTTGCAGAAATTATTATTTGACACATCAAATGTTAGACTCAGAAGGGTCCTGTGTGTAATTGCATTAAATTCTGTCAATTACCACTGAGCATATAGTTTTGGTACATGTCGCTTAAGTTCATGTGCATTACAAACAACCTACGGCTGCAATCTTATGTTATTGTAGATTCTGAAATTAAACTTACGTTCATGTATAACGGTATTTTCCCCCATTGTTTTGGTCGCTGACATTTTACTAATTATTGCCTGTTAAGTTGCACCCTTGTTCGTGTACTCTTGTATTGGGAGTATGGTTTACTCGGATGATTTGCGTATTATGTTTCAGCAGATCTTATATGGCAGAAAGTGATTTTTTTTTTTAATCAAAAATGATTTTCAGTGGTCAGATAAGCTTCAGAAGCTTGATTTCCAAGAGCTGGTAATGTTCCTTCAACATCTTCCAACTCAAAACTGGTCTCACCAAGAGCTTGAGATGGTGCTCTCTCGCGCCTTCATGTGGCACAGCATGTTCAATGACTCTCCCAGCCATTTAGCTAGCTAAGCGGGCAACTGTGTGATGGTGTTTGGTTTCCTTTGTAGTTATTCTCTTACTGTTCAGTTTATCTCAGACTGCAACTTACTCCGCGTATGAGCTTTTTTCCCTTGTAATATTTTGTATCGGGCAACATTTCATTGTGTAGATTTACTAAAGAAGAGAGAAATATAAACAGTTGGAAGAGAAATGGAATTTTTGTTGCTTTTATTTGTTAGACAATTTCATGGTGCATCCATGGATTTGAGATTCTGTCCTCCTTACTATTTGAAATTATTTCAGTATCACATAATGACGCTTCAGCTCGGTTTAAACTATTTATCGGTCAATGAGGCAGTTGCCAGCAACCTACCTGTGGAGGCGGCGAAATGAAATGAGCCGGGAAATGCATTGCAGCTTATTTACCCAAACAACTTATTGCCAATCGAATAAGATGCGGAATTTCACTAATTGTTATAGCTGTCCTGGTTTGTGCCAATGCCGTTCATCCTATGTTGATTTAAGGGGGTTTGGATAAACCATGGTTTGAAAAATAGTTTCTGAAAAATAGATTTTAGAAAGAATATATTTTGTAAAAAAGTGATTCTGAGAAGTGAGAGTGTTTAGATAGTTTTATCAGAAATACTTTTTACATGTACAATTACTAAAAAAAGTATAAGTTAATATGATAATTACATAAGAGATAGATTTTATAATATATTTTGATTTGAAAAATAAAATTGTTAATAAAATAATTTTTACTAACAATTAATAATGTAAAAGATAATATAATTAATTAATAATTAATATATTTATATATATTTATAAAGCATAATATTAAATTGTTAATAAAATATGTGAAGGAGGAAAGAGTAAAGGAGGAAAGGAAGAGCAAATGCGTAAGACCAACTGGCAAATGAATCAATTATTTGAGTCAGGAAAGGGGGCTCTTTTGTCATCCGTGTTGGGCCCACAACAAGATTCTAATAATTTGAGTCAAGAAGCAACTCTGGACAGCTTCTGGTGAAACCATAGTTTGGGGGTTCAAAACCATAGTTTGTGTCCAAACCATGGTTTCACATTTCCTATTCCTATTTGGCTGACATTTTCTTCAAACCATGATTTGGGTTCCAAAACCATGGTTTGGGGTGCTTGCAAAACAGGCCTTTAAGAGATGCTTAGATGGAAGTCAAACCATGATTTTAAAAGTGTTTTTACGATATACGAAATAAATATATAGAGTAGTACGCCTCAATTTTGTGAAAAAATATTTCTGAAAAGCACTTTTTCATCTTGCCACAAACACTCCATTAATAAAAGATTCTAATAGTGATATAAAAGGCCACAGATACTTCGCTATGGTTGTTCACATTCATTTAATATATTAATGATTTAATACAAGATACTAATAGTGACACGTTCACTTACTCATGCAGTGCGTACATTTATATTTTTATTATGAAACATTTTTTACTTTTTATTTTTTGTTAGTAGCATAAAAATTATTTTTTATTTTTCTAATTTTCCAATCTTCACCAGACTGGGCGTAGAAGACGTGACCTTTCTCGTAATTCAATATTACGACCTTTCGTCTTTCTGTAATACAATATTGAGCGACAGAAATAGACAAATAACATGGATTTAAGGGAGAAAATAAATGAACCCATTAAAAATCCAGGACAATTGCTAAATCACCCCGACATTGTTTCTCCGATGGCGTTTTCCATTGAAGGGGGGAGAAAATGAAGCCGCATGTTCACCACTCCATCAAGAAGTAAGATCATCGCCGACAATTGATCTCCCTTTGGCCTGAAGACATGGGCAAGGAAGTGAATGAAGAATCCGAGTATAAAAAGTAAAAACATCAATCACAAGGTTCACTGGGTCTTTGCATTTACAATTACCAAGGAACAAGCTCCTTCAATTATCCGGTACTCGATATATTCACAACTCAAAGTTGAGGTTGGGAAATTGGCATACAATGATTGGAAAGCTTACATGCTTGCGGTGGAGTTGACGAATGAATTTTTGAGGAGAGTCCACGTAGTCAAAGCACTCATCCTTCAAAGTTGCAGCCAGGTGTTGCAGGCCAGCCTTGTGGAGGTTCCTTATCAGAATTGTGAAGGTCAGCTTGTCCGGGGCACAACCAGACGCCTTCATAAGGCCGTACGTCTCCATTGCCTTTTCCGTCATGCCTGCTTGTATATAAGCTCCTATCATCTCCGTGTACATCCTTGTGTCAGGTTTCAATCCCTTTTCCATTACCTGAGAAAACACCTCTTCCGCCCTCCCAATCTCCTTATTTCTTCCCAGCAACAGTATCATGTCCGAGTACAGGGACAACTCCCTCTCATATACTGCTTCCTTCCTGATGAAGTCGAAAACCTATATTTTCGCATTCGTCTGGTTAAAACAAGAACAAGCAGCAGAATTTAAAGAAATTCCGTGGAATAGTACCTGGAGGCACAAATCCAATTCATTTTGTCTGTGCAGCTCCGAGAGGACGTCCAAGACATCAACTTTGAGAAGCCTGGAGAGTCTGGAATCGAGAAGATGTTGAACTTTAGGGGTAGATTTCGCGAGCTTAAGGGAATGAACCACCTGAATGGCTTCTTTGGACAAAACCCTCGACCTCCATAGGCTTTTTCTGGGGCTCCTCCGGAGGCCGCATATAATGACACCCCCACGGTTTGACCCAGCCGAGCCCTTCCCATTGACAACGCTTCGAAAATTCAACAAAGTGGGCTGGTAATTCATCAGAGAAGCCATCATGATGATGTTTTCTGCATTGCGTTCCCCAGATTGAAATAGAAAAGATCCCTCGCAGAACGCACCCTTACCAAAACCGCGGCACCCTCAATCCTCACTGCATATATTTATAATTTATAAGCAATATAATTCGATATAAATTTTAAAAATTGAAGAATCTGATTAAATCCAATTAAAATATTAAAATTTAAATTAATGCATAGGATAAGAGGCCTAATCAGAAATTTTTTAATTATAGTCCTTTATAATTAAAAAAATAATTTTATCATTTAAAAAAATAGGGATTTCTGACGCACCCATGCATATTGAAGAAAATAAAAGGGCTCGGTGGCAAAAAAATTTACAAACTCACATCTCAATTGTTACCTTTTATACAACTTTCTGCTTCCCAATTTTAAGTCGATCAGAGTAAATATAAACGGTATAAAGTTGGCCTTTTTTTTTTTTCAGTTCTTTTAATAAAATTAAGTTTGAAATCAAACAACCCTTTTTTTGCTATGAAAATCAACAACTTATTGAAACGGAATAGTTGAACCAACATCCATTAAGGCCAAAAAAAACCAACATCCATTAGATCAAATAAAAAGAACTCGTTCCAATATTCAGTATTGGTTCAATATTGGTTGCTGAGTAGGATCAAATATGAAAATTCAGAGGAAAAAAATTAACAATTGGGGTGTCAATGTTCATTGTAAAAAAATATTAAATTTGTTTTGATTAAATTGACGCAGGTTGAGGAACAAAGAAGGTGCAGATAAACCAATTTGATCATGAATTAAAATGATATAACTCTGTTTGGAAAATGATTTAAATGAAGAACTAAGAAATAAATTAATTTGCGCAAAATATATGGTACTACTTTCAATCCTAATTATAAAACCTCATTTGTATCTTATTTGTAGATTATAAATAAGGCTTTATAATCAGGACAGGAAGTGGTAATTTCTAATGACTTGCGTGCCTTGTGATGATCAAATATCCAAAAAGCTGGTGCCGTAGCTGTTGCTTTCACGAAGAAAAGGAGCAAAGACAGAAACAGGGAGAATTATAAGGAGGTGACAAGGGAAAAAAAAAATTACAAATCAAGTTGTCATTTGCTCTAAAATCATCATTATCATTCAAGCTATTTAAGTTATTATTAAAAAATTTTAGTAATTATTTTTGGAACCTTATTGTAATTCTCCTGTCTTTATAGATAAATATTATACTCCTCTTATCATTATATTACACATAATTAATTAATTTGAGTCTATTAAATATGTTAGTTAATTTAGTTAATATGATATCTTTTTTCTAAAACATCTTAAGAATCTTTCTTAATTCTATTCATCACTCTTCTACTTGATTATTATATATAGAACATCAATAGAGTTAATTTAAAAAAATTTGATAAAAATATGAAGTAAGTCTTACAACTAGGACCAATACTGCCTAATTAGATTCTACATTAATGATCGAAGGAGTATAATATTAGGTTTTCATGGTTTGATTTTTTTTAAAAAAATATTTTCTTTAATTATAAAAGGGTTTTTTTAGTGGAATGTAAAAGGTTATTTTAGTTTTTAAACAGCATTCATAAATTCTGAATTAGGCCTCTTGACCTAATTAGAAATTTATTTAAGGTATAGACCTCAATTTGAATTTTGATATTTCAGCTAGCTAGAGTTTAATTTAGTATCTCAAGTTCTTAACTCAAAATCAGATTTGTTATGCATAAAACGCATTTCGATTCAAAATTTAATATTATATTTGATTTATGAGTAATTCACACGATCTAAATGTGAGTTACCTACATTAGATTGAGTACTGCTACCACTTATCTTCTACTGCGAGGAAAAAGTTTAATAAAGTTTTTTATTTTATATAAAAGGAAAGTGTAATTTTCAAAGCGGAAAACAAGTGGCATAATTTGAACATTTTTTAAGGTGGATGAGTTAATTTTGTGATTCGATTTCTAGTACATTTTCGTTAGTAATTAATAAACCAAAACCCAGTGAAGGATCCCCAGGCTATTCTCATGTCTGCTACCCTCAACAGAGATGGAAACAGATTGTACAGTGTCCAAAACAGATGAACATGCATGCATGCGTTGCATGTGTACATATATAATCTTTAATAACACACCACTTCCAGACAACACATTTACTCTCTTGGAACCAATGAATTAAGGATGCATCATCTAATTTTTGGTTCCTGTGTTCACAAAAGGAAATAACAGGAACCAAGATATGCTGGAGAACTGGGTTGATTTATTCCTCATCCAGTTCAAGTCCTGGGATATATTCCAGACTAACATCAAATACGACGGGACTGTTCGGAGCCACCCTTGGTCTTCCTGGAGCAGATGTAAGACCTTTTGGGAATGCCAACTACCATCAAACATCAAACAGGAACGCCAAGAGTTAAAACTTATCCTATTTATTGAACCACGCTTTTACTGTCAAGTGGACGAATCAAATTAGAAAAAATGAAAATTCATCGGGAGTCTTAAGTTCGTTAACTTCATTATCATGCATTTCTCAAACTATTTTGTGGTCAATGCACACCTTAAGCTCAGATGCCCTTGCCCCAGTGCAAAACTATAAAATGTGGTACTATCTTAAGGGGAAGGGAAAGGAATTCATAGTAGATGCTGAACCTCTTCCAAATCTCAATCCAGTTGTTGAAACAAAGTCAAACTAATCCCCACAATGTGCAGATGATTATTAGAACACCTAAATATCAGTTTTCACGATTTTGGGAAGCTTATTATGTTGGGAAAAGTTAAGAGGAGGAAGACAATCCAGCATGAAGACAGAAGCTTACTGATCCGGGTATGTATAGTCGGCGTTTTCCTCCTATTTTCATGCCCAAAATTCCTTCATCAAGTCCCTTTATCACCTATTCCATTCATTGGGTTGAAAATCAGTATAGCCTACCAATAAGCCCTTGAACAACAATATTTTTGCGGCCAAAAAGAGAAAATGACAGTACTAACTATTCTCAAGGTTTGAACAGCCCATACATGGGTCAAATTCTTAAAATTCAGCAGCAGCAACATATGAATTTACCTGACCAGAGCCAACGCGAAAAATGTAAGGCTGGCCTTTCTCCAATGAACTGTACAATCAAAGAGGAGGAAAAAGAGCAAAACATAATAAGCTTTTGCATCTAACCAAAGTAACAAACTTCATAATAATTCTCAGCTTAAGTATATTTAATTGATTGTTAACAGAGCAGGTCCTAAGGAGCAAAATGCAAAGTATATGGTATTCAAAACCAAAATTGGATGAAAACAAACAAGTCTACATTATCACTAAAACATTCTGACAGCATTTGCTGTTTGCTAGGTATATCTAATTGGTTATTTTTTATATGTTACACTCAGATGTCCAACATCTAACTAGGTAATTCTATAAGTTCACTCAAACCTTCTCAAGTCTACAATATAACAAATAACACTGAGAATCTTTTAACTAAATTACTGCAAGGAAAGAATGCTAGAATTCAGCAATTGACAGATTTACCTATCAAATATTTGTCCAGATGGAACCATCGCAACGTAGTTAGCAGCCACCTGTGTTTTTTAAGTTACATAAGTAGAATAAATAGAGTGTGGTCAGAGGCACTTGGAAACGAAGGTAACCGCTGATATATTGGTGGTAGAAAAATATACTAACTCCATGGCAGAAAGAATGATAGAATTCAGCAACTGACAGGTCTATGGTTGGTTACACAGAAGATAGTTTTTATTTTTTGATAAGATGATTTAATACGGAGATAGCAATAGATATAATGGCGCTTCACCAACTATATGGTTGGTTTACATAAGGAATTTTGGAAGTTCGTATGGCGGCACATGTGAATTCATGGCCGCTATGAGGCAGTGTCATTCATTAGTATGCACTGAATTTCTGCCTAGAACGTGAAATAAATATGTGATATGAACTCTGCCTACCGAAGCAAATTCAGCTGGTCCGCAGGCATAAATGATCAGTTTAGGGATTTATTTTTACAGAATTGGCATCGGGTTGTTCTTTGCAGAATAGAGACAAGCATACACGAAAACCTGTATAAGTCAGATGACTTCAAAACCTGAAATCCAACTGGTGGTGTAGAGCCTCTTCCAACTTTAATATCCTTGTATTGCAAACCTGACTCCGTAGTTATCATAGGCACCTTCATGGCATACAAAATTCAAAACGGCCTCAGTCATTAGCTATGGAAATTAAACTACAAGTAAAAGTCATTCCCCCATTACACTGGGAAGCTCTTGAGTTTACCTAGCTTATCACTCCAGTGCTTATTACAAGTCATTTATAATTCATTCCCACATACTAAGAAATACATTAAATTGATAAAATTTTTCTAAATTTATCCCTATTAAAATTTTCTCTCTCTCCTCTCTCTCTCTTTCTAATAAGAATTAAGTAATGATAAAATTAAAAAGCGATCATTAAATACCCCACAAGTGACTTGTAGTAAGGATAAAAAGATTCTCCCTACAAGTGAGTTGTAATAAGCACCAAGTGGTACATCTTTACTCTGATAGGATTGATTAATAATTTCATAAAACAACAGATTGCTGATATATGCCACGCATATATCAGACATATAATAACTTGCAGCAGATTTTATATCTAGCAAAGCATAGAGTTTCTCCATTAACCCAACTAATCAAGTTATGATATCATTTGAAGCTACTGACGTGAAGGTCCCTGCTAATTTCTATTAGAATTATATGTTCTATCCTGGAGAAACATTATGAGCATTGATTACACACTACGCCAGATCATTAATTCTTATAATTCGTGACGATTCTCACCTTCGCGCAAAGCAAGTACTAGGTATAGGTTTCTTACAAATATTGAAATTGGTGGCCAATACGAAGGGAAGGCTTGGAGACTCAATGGCTGTTTGATGGATACCAGTTTGTCAAACCAGAAGAGAAGGAACATTCAAATATCTGAACATTTCTTAAGGTAGGCAAATTCAATAGACCAAAAACACCTTTTTCATTACAGCGTTTTTAAAATTCCCAAGACTATATTGAAGTCCCCCCCCCCCCCCCGGTTCCTCGCAAGGGCTTTGCCTCTGACAAGTTTTCATCCTGAAGATTGAAAACATTCTTAGAAATGTACAGTGACTACAGGTGATGTTTTAACAGAAAGAGACAAGGAGACATAGCAGTCAAGGATACTATGTAATCTCACCATACATTTTCAAGCTCTTTCTCACAGGTATCATCACAGAGCCTTGGCTTTTCCTCTGGGGGCAAACCAGCTCCTTTGGCAGGAAATGAAGTCATGAAGAGGCCTGGGGCTCCGAAAGCTAACCCGAGAATGTCTCTACGCGTAATGTTGTTAAACATAGCTACGCATTCTCTTGTCCTCGGGGACTTGGTTTGAGAATCGCAGCTTGAGTAATGCACAGCCAGACATCGAACTTTGTCATCAGGAACGACTTGGGGAGCGTAGGACGGGCTTCTACCCGAAGCAGAACCTACCAACGTGCACAGATTTCGAGATTGAGCTAAAAAGGAAGAGGCGAGACGAAGCTTCTTGACATGAATTATGAACATATTTCAAAGGGAATGCAGCAATATGGGCAACGGGGGAAGCAAAATCACAAGAAACAGAGAAATAGGGCCGCTACTTACCAAGTGAAAGGAGCAGAGATGAAGGGCAGGAAGCCATGCTCAAGCTTCAGAGCGCGGATAACGAAATCTCCTTCATCACAAATAAAAGCTGCTGACCTGGCTTTTCTGCTGAATTCTAATTTCATATTTGCCCTGGCAGAGGCATTTGGTGTTATTGCGTCGGAAATGACTTTTCCCTACTAGATTGTGGGAAGCCAATGATAATATTTTCCCCCGGTTACAACTATTTACTTGCATTAAAAAATAGTACTACCTCCGATTCTTAATATAGAATCTTGTTTGATTTTTATTTTAGTCTTAAATATAAAATATCAATCTATTTTATCTCTAATATTTATTTTTTTCTTTCAAAATAGTTCTTCTAACAATAGTAGTTCTAGTCAATACATTTGATTAACAAGGATATTTTAAGAAATACAATACTTATTTATGACAAATAACTAACTTAACTTCTTTTCTTAATCTCCTTAAATTAGTTAATTAGCTCTTATAATCAGGACCGGAGGTAGTATCAATTAGTAATGTAAACTCATGGTAGAACTGTTCAGCTTTCTTACATAAATATTGCTTCAGGCCATGTGAATAAATTCAGATATCCTTAAAACGCAGTGATTTTTCTTTTCTTTTCTTTTTTGCCAACATAGGGATCTTTTCTTGTAGTTAAGCTAACTTGCAAGTCAAAAGATAAAATCCGATGGAAAGTTTAAAAAATTGAAAGTGCGTTCGTTCATCTAATAATTCTGTACTAAAAACCCATGATTTGTTGAGCTTTCCTATCAGTTCTTTTATATTTTATTTTATTTTGTCACAGATCCATTTGTCTCAACTTCTCTAATCAAACAATACTACTAGTATTTAAAAAAAACACTACGTTTTTTAAAAAGTAAAAAAAATCATAAAAAATAAATTTATTATTATATTAAGAAAGTACATGAACATTCTTTTTAAAACAATTAGACGAGATGAATAGGAGAATGTTGATGTAAATGGGAAAATATTGTAAACTCTGAAAATTAGTAAATAATAATTATTTTTCTTATTAAAATAAAATATAAGATAATTTATATTTTTCAAAAAATTATAAACAATAAATTAATTTTCGTAAATTTTTTATACCGTATAAAAATTATTTTTTAAAGATAAACAAAACTGACCCTGAGGCCGAGCCCTGTTAATTTGAGATTTTTTTTTTGTTACAAGTAAAGTTTAAATGATTTGGATATTGAAGGCTTATCAAAATCAGGACATGCCTTTAAGTTTAGAAAGCTTTTACAGATATACTTATAGATCACTTATCAATATGATCCTCATATTAGCAGTGGGATTCAAACTCACAAGTTATGAACCTAATCCTTAGACCAATTCTGATGGCATGAGTACTGTTCTGTTGACGGCTGACATCAAAATTTTAACCAAAAAAGCCGAGCTGGATTTCTTAGCCCTGAAGAGTCCAGTCCGGCCCATTTCCCTCGGGTGGAAGAGATATTGCACAAGGCCACTAGTAACCATTGGGCAGAAGCACTGATCCCAAATTTCCGAAACTTTCCAATCCTATCTGCAAAAATTGCTTTTTATTTTCAAGTTCTGCGCATCTTGAGCTGATTTCGATCAGATATGGCAACGAAGCTGCAGATGTTTACTGGAGTACCATTGGCATCAACACCTCCAACGTCGTTGTTTCAAGTTTGTTCTTCAAGCTCCAATAGTCTCTACGTGCTCAGGAAACCTCTGACCACGTCGTTCTTCGGTGGCAGAGGTATGGCCTAGCCTAAATATGCTTTTACTCCTTAATTTTTGTCCAGGAGGTGCATTCCTGGTCTAGAGTATGGGCTCATTAACTAAAAGTCGTTTTACATAATGGCGTTTTCAATTTTTTTCTCTTGCTAATATATTGTTCATTGATATGATCCCAATTCTCTGGCGTATCAGTTCTCATCATAAGCTTCCCCGGCAATGTGAGCACCATGGGCTTCTGTTGACTCACTTAAATCGTATATTATGTTTTTGTTTATTATATTGGAGCCGATTGATTATCGGTTATTTGTTTTAATATAAAAATATTGCGCTCTTCATCTGTGTGAATTGTGTTTCATTATGTTTTACTGCTGCTTTTCAAATAATTCCATAATTGTGAACATTAAACAATGTATGAGTGAGAGCAAGTTTGCAGCATTATTATGAAGTATAAGTGACGGGCATCAGTAATTTAAGTGTGAAATATTTATCACGTTGCCAGCAGTTAGGAATGGATCGCCCTTATGTGAGGCAGCAATTCAGTAGTAAGCACTTTATTTCCGTAGTTGGTGAAACTTTTTTATTTTGGGAGGGGGTTGGAGTTGGGAGGACTTGTACTTAAATTAATTTTTTCGTGCACTATTGATCACATAAACGTGTTAAACCTTAAGGTCTCAAGCAATTGAGTGTTTCCTGATGTCACCTGTTCTTATCTTTAAATTACATCTCCTATCAATTTTCTTCAAATGGATATCATGACTTGTGGATGAAAGTATGTTCCATTGAGCAAGTTAGTGTTGATGTTACTCTCTAAGAGAAGAAAAAGTTTTTTTTAAAAAAAAAATTGAATTTTCTTGTACACACAGAAGCTAATTGATACTTGAGATATGTTAGTAAATAATATATTTGAAGAGTTAGTTGTTAATATAGCTCAATGACGTCACACAATGCACGTATCAATTGGCTTTTGACTGTTGTTGTAATAGAGAAGCCAAAAACATTACGTCTCCCCGTCTTTCCTTTTGTATATACAACTTCTGCCGGGATTTCAAATTTCCTTGATCAATGCTTGCAGTTGAATATCTGAAAGTTAAAGGGATAAGGATTGCTGGCCCCATCCAATCTTATTCTAGACAAGGTGGAGGTGCTCTTGGCACTCAAATGAACCTTTTTGATAGATTTGCCAGAGTTGTGAAGGTGAAATCACTGAAATAAATTTTTTTTTTTTAAAAAATATGCATAGTTTAGGTTGGCATTCTCATTATTATTTATCTAAGTGATGCAGTCATATGCAAATGCAATCATAAGTACTTTTGAAGATCCAGAGAAAATATTGGAGCAGACAGTTCTTGAAATGAATGATGACTTGACAAAAATGCGTCAAGCTACAGCACAGGTTAATTATTTTTTTGTTTGATTTGGGAGTTGAGACTTTTTCTTTTTGAAACTTTTATCTCTGCTGTTTTCTTTCCATGGTTATACATGAGTTATTGAAAACTACTTTGTTCTGCATGCTGACCCTTAGGTATAGATTGCTGGAGTAGCCTTCAAAGGCTACAAGCTTGCAATTTCTCAATCTATGCTGTAAACCCCCCCCCCCCAAAAAAAACACAAACCTCACCAAAAAAAAATTGTTTTTGTTTTTCACTCCTGACCTTTTAGTCTGAGATCCTCTTCTTCTTCATAAGGTATTGGCATCTCAGAAGCGGTTGGAAAATAAATACAAAGCCGCACAACAAGCTTCTGAAGAGTGGTAATATACGGGGAAAAAATGGTTATTTTAGTTTTCTTACATTGTTTAGTGTATAGATACCAGTTTTATGCTTTGCATTGCCATAGGTACCGTAAAGCACAACTTGCTCTTCAGAAAGGCGATGAAGATCTTGCTCGTGAAGCTTTGAAAAGGCGGAAATCTTATGCTGTATGTTCTCATTTTCTTGAATGCTTTTGCTCTGGTATATTTCTAGATTTCCAACTTAAGGTTATCAAGTGGACCACTTAATTGTGTGGTATTTTAGTTAATCAGATATAGTTCTTGATTCTTGATTTCTTGCTCTCTTTTTTCACCTGATAGCTACATATGTGGATTCTTTGTTCTCCCTTCTTTGCTAATAATTACTGAAATATTTTATCAATGCATTTGTCACAGCTTCCATTTCTATGAGAGTCTCCTAAAGCTTAATGAAAACTCTACTCTGTGTTCCCAAGTGATTTGTCTTCATAACCAAATGTGTAGATTTATGATTTATCCGACCATTTTGGTTGCTTTTGGCAAGGCATTTCCCTTGTTCGTTATTGTGTTTGAAGAAGCTGAAGTAGTTTGGGACTATCAGATATGATAAATCTCACAATACTTAGCTTCTGCAAATTTCTCCAAATAGGCAGTTCAATATATGTCAGACGTTGCTTATATATGAATGCTGATGATAGTGTTGACCTCTTGCTGATTACTGAAAAATTGGAATTATCTGCAATTCCACCATTTAGTTTACTGATTAAAGAAATTATAGCTGCAATAGTTATAACGTATATGGATACCTTATCATGCACGTCACATGATAGGCCGTCTGAACTTGATCCTCTTCCTTTAAAATGTTGCAGGATAATGCTAATGCTTTGAAAGTTCAACTTGATCAACAAAAGGGTGTTGTTGACAACCTTGTCTCTAATACACGGGTGAGTTAAATTGTACCTAGGGAATTGTAAGGCTGTGTTTGGGTGACACCCCAAACCATGGTTTGGGGAATAAATCACCCAAACACCCACCCAAAAACCAAAATCATGGTTTTGGAAAAAGCAAAAAATTTTTGCTTTTGGAGAAAAAATGGAGAGTGTGAAAGCCTATAAGATATATATCTTGTTATTTTTTTTATAAACATATTTAATCTTATATTTTATAATATATATACATATTAATTATTTATTAATTATATTATCTTATGTATTATTAATTATGTTAATAAAAAATATATTATTAACAATTTTATTCCTTCAAATTAAAATATATCATAAAATCTATTTTTTCTGTAATTATCATATTAACTTATATCTTTTTTTTAGTAATTTGTATATATAAAAAGTGCTTCTGATAACAACTATCCAAACACTCTCACTTCTCAAAATCACTTTTTCATAAAATCTATTCTTTCCAGAATCTATTCTTCCCAGAATCTATTCTCCAGAATCACTTTTCTAAACCACGGTTTGGTTTCATCCAAACACACCCTAAAGCTAGTGTGTATAATTGAATATTGCCATCTAAAATTGAGATCCAAAGTAGCCCGCCTTTCAGTCAGAAAATCAGTGGAAG